AAAAGAGGCAATATAAATTTTCTTTTTAAATATATACAAAAAGAGAGAACAAGAGCAGGAAAGAATGTTGAGACATGTAATAAAACTTTGTTAGAGTGTAATCTCAAAATTAACAGCAGGTTACACTTTACAAGTAGTGAATTATGGTATATCTGTGCAGTGAAGTTACAGTTATGTCTCTTTACTTGCAGGATGTTAAAAACACACTCATTTATATATATATATATAGAGAGAGAGAGAATGTATGTAGCTATAGTTCTGTTGTTAAAAGCATATATGAGGGAGAGTCAATATATAGGTCAGAGTGATATTTGAACCTGGAGAAAACATTTCTTGACATATCCTCCATCAGCAGTGATACAGTTGTGCCATCACTTTTCCATAACCATGCATCATAACCCGCACCCTAGAAGTCTTTTGACTGTTTTCTCAGCCACTTCACACCTCCGTTTCAACATCATCATCACCAGCGAAACGTTTGCCACCATGGTGGGTTTTAGTGGATCATATAGATGTAAGTCACTAGCNGTCCTCCCATCGTCTCTCTTATATGGGGCAGATATTGTGCCACCTGGCTATCTTGATGTGAAGGTTCTTTATATCGTCCAGGGTTGCTCGTGGCTGCTGTGCTGTTTTCACTGTGAAAACAGCACTAGACATATCTTCACCTAATTTGTCACATACCCCAGAAGTTAGAACTCTTCGTATTTGTTGTAGAAGTATAAAATTATGACCAGATACAAGGAAGAGTATTTGTTTTAATTTTGCCATTACATCTATAGATAGCTGTAGTATGATGATATGGAATAATTGTGCAAAAGAGGCAATATAAATTTTCTTTTTAAATATATACAAAAAGAGAGAACAAGAGCAGGAAAGAATGTTGAGACATGTAATAAAACTTTGTTAGAGTGTAATCTCAAAATTAACAGCAGGTTACACTTTACAAGTAGTGAATTATGGTATATCTGTGCAGTGAAGTTACAGTTATGTCTCTTTACTTGCAGGATGTTAAAAACACACTCATTTATATATATATATATAGAGAGAGAGAGAATGTATGTAGCTATAGTTCTGTTGTTAAAAGCATATATGAGGGAGAGTCAATATATAGGTCAGAGTGATATTTGAACCTGGAGAAAACATTTCTTGACATATCCTCCATCAGCAGTGATACAGTTGTGCCATCACTTTTCCATAACCATGCATCATAACCCGCACCCTAGAAGTCTTTTGACTGTTTTCTCAGCCACTTCACACCTCCGTTTCAACATCATCATCACCAGCGAAACGTTTGCCACCATGGTGGGTTTTAGTGGATCATATAGATGTAAGTCACTAGCGGCCAAGTCCAGACTGTAAGGTGGATGTTCAAGAATTTCCCACTGTAGTTTTCTAATTCTCTCCTGGGTTGCTCGGGCTGTATGTTGTCTGACATTGTCATGATGAAGCAGTATTCCTCTTGCCAGTTGGCCTGGCAGTTCTGCGAATTGCATCACGAAGTTTCAACAGAACTTCACAGTTCAGACAGAATTCACTTTTTCACCATGCTTCTGAGAATAGGCTAACAGTATTCCATGAGAATCCCAAAACACGGTAAGCATAAACTTCCCAGCTGATGGCATAACCTTAAACCTTTGGTTGGAGGGCGAACTGGGATGTTTCGATTGCATTGAAACACACTTTGGTTTGGGTTGGTTGTGATGCGCCCATGATTTGTCCCCATTAACAATTCCGTTAAGTACACCATGTACCAAAACGATTGACTCAGTTTGGAAGTTGATTATACGAGTATTCTTAACTGGTTTGTACAGAATTACAAAAACTAGCAGAAATGAAAGAGTAATTCTAAGAGTATATAACACATCCTACAAGCATTCAATGTGTGCACCCTTGGTCACCCGGCACATGGTAGTCTAATTCTTGCCACACTTTGATCAGCATTTCTGGTGTGACGGTCTCCACAGTCGGAGTATTTCTGCTGTGCAAATCATATATGCTCGCAGGTAGCGGTGGCACAAACACTTTGTCCTTCATGTAACCCCAGAGGAGGTAGTCACAAGGGGTTGGGTTGGGGGATTGTGCGGACCATGAACAGAAAATCAAGACTGGACAATCATCCCATCCATGTGGAAGAAAGTCGTTCAACCAGCAACGAACATCTCGACGGAATGAGGGGAGCCCCATCCTGCTGCCAAATGTAATCCTCTGGTTCATCTTCATGCAGTTTAGGGAAGAGCAATGTGTGTAGCTCTAATCATTTTGGTACACGGTGTATATTTTCTCCTTCATCTGCATATTTGTACCTGAGAAATGTTGCAAGGACAGACCCATTCAGTCCTTTTTTTCTTGCTCCTTCAGTTCTCTGGGCACCCACCTTGTGCACCCTTTCTGAAACGTCAATCATGCATTATGCTGTTGGTTAAACCATGGGAACAACATAGTTCAGTTGCTACACTGTAATTATCTTCCTGTGAGATTAAATCAACTCTTCCACCTGCTGCACAGTCTGCTGCTTCTTTCACAGTCTCAAACGTCCTTGAGAGAATATCTCAACTCAGTTATGAACCACTTTACATGACAAACTACTTCCTTTTACAAAGAGGAAACGTTTTTATGAATGTCCCTTGAATTGAGTCATTTTGTCCACTAAAAACGCACAACAGAACACTGCTTTTCTTTAGTATGCTCCTTAAGCACGGTTACCATTTTGACTACTGAAACCATTCTCTGAACATGTGTATGATTGTCTACTAAATAGACTGTGCTGCTACCTAGTGATACACACGGAAAACCTATTACTTCTATTACAGCTGTTTTACTTCCATTTGTAACCTTTACTGGCTCTTCCTTGTATCTTTGTTTATATTTAGATATACTAATATAATTCCCAAAAATATCCCAATCTGATATCTTGGTGGTTCAGATTAGTTTGGTTTACTTCAGATTTTACTCTCTGTTAACCTTTAAACGCCAGACTTCTGAAATAGTGGTAAGCTTGAGCTGGCCGGAGTTTATTTAAATGCCCGCTGCTGGTGCGCGTTTAAATGCGTGTTGGTACTCTGCCTTTAAATGTCCATTCCTCTTAGTGCACCTAAACAATTTTAAGCATTGTGTTTAAAAATGCTGTATCTAACTCAATTTTTATGATAAATGGATGGAATTAATTTTGTTTGTATCAGCAAAGAACATACTGTCGCATATTATAATGGAAGATTTGAAATTTTTTATACAAATTATATTCCATTTTCAATTTTTTGTTTTTAATTTTGATGAGTACTGCAAAAATGATTTCCCAGTTCTTCACAGAGTTGTTCTGCATTACAAATTCATTTCTGTTTGTAACACTTGACAAATTTTAGCAGTCCCTGATGTCATAAAACAGATGGAAGCAATAAAATCATTTGGCCTTCTGCTAGCACTGCTTACACTCTTCGGATTTTCGAATCTTTTGATTGAAGGTCAGAAGAATGAAAGAATGGCTATTCAAGAGAAAGCTAGAGGGGTCCCTTCTTCAGTTCTAATACCTTCCGTTATAGCTGCAAAAGCTTATTGCCCTTTCTGTGGGCCTGAACAGACAGATGCATCGCGGCTGAGATTCAGAGTGCGGTCTGTTTTCTCTGCGTGCTTAGTGAAATCGAATACTGTAGTTTTATTTCAGCCTAGATACACATCAAGCAGATAACAACAAAAAAGGTATGTACATCAAATTTTACTGTATATTTTTAACACATTAATCTGCAGAATCTGCAATAAAAGTACTGGCTCGTGGATGAGTTTGGGCATAACTCATACGTATACTCTTTTTGGTTGTTCACCTAGGTATCATTTTAATTTTTCTATTAGGGCTTTACTCAAGTCTGTCTGGTAATTACTACATTTAAAAATAAATATTTAGGACTGGGCATTCGCTTCTACTAGCGGCGTGTGCACGCGCTTCCCCTAGCGGAGTTTAAATGCCCGAGTGGCCAAAACTGGGTACTTTGGCCACAACGACCTTACTCACCACTGGCACAAACGGGGCACTTCGGCACTTAAAGGTTAAGTTTGTATGGCATCTAGCAAATGTAGGTAAAACAGAATTCTGCAGTCATTTTCATATTTGGGATCCTATTGAAGAGACTGGCACTCCTAGCCAAATGTAGTTAGAATAGTAAAGTCAATGAGGTTGGGATGGGCAGGGATTGTAGATCACATGGGGAGAAGAGAAATTGATTAGGGTTCTGATGGGAAAGCCAGAGGTAAAGAGACCACTAGAAAGACCTAGTAATAAGTGTAAGGATAATATTGAAATGGATTGTAGAGAACTGAATTGATCTGGTTCAGAATAGGGACCGCTGGATGGCTCTTTTGGACACAGTAATTGACCTAACGGTTAGCTGTATGATGGGCAGTTTCATGGAATTAGATAGATATTAAATTTTATAAAATATATGGTCTCATATTTGTGAAGTTGTTACTGATTAGGTACTTATGTATTAGTGGGTGACCAAGTAATTTTGAAAGTTACCACAATGTTGTCCACTGTGGTAATGCTGCCAACCTCTGAAATATATTTCTGAAAACAAGACCCAAAATCTAAACTTAGAAATGCCTCCAACAACAAGTTCACAAGGTTAGGCTTTTGGATTTGTTTTAAGATATTAGGCCTTTAGTTCCACATGAAAAGGTCAGGCTCTTGATCTTGTTTTTAAAAATAAATGTTGAAAAGGCTTATAAAATTATGACTTTTTGCAAGTAAACATCTGTGGTTGGTCATGCTGTTGTGAACAGCATGTTTTCAATGTAATGAAGTTAGTTAAGCTGAAAAATTATTTTCAGCTTCCATTTGCATTCTTTGTTCTGTAATTATAGTGGAAAATAACAGTTAACAATATAATTTATATCAGATTTAGGTAGACAGAGTTGTATTAAAGAATGATTTCTCAGATTGCTTCCAGTTCTTCTTCCTGTTGTTCCACATCTTATTACATTTGCTTTTTTTGGTGACTGTTTGGTAGCTGGATTTGAAGACACAAGCACTTCCACTTGCTCGAATAAAGAAGATAATGAAGCTTGATGATGATGTAAAAATGATAAGTGCAGAGGCACCCATGCTGTTTGCTAAAGCAGCTGAAATATTTATCCATGAATTAACACTTCGAGCTTGGGTGCACACTGAAGATAATAAGCGAAGAACACTTCAGGTTAGCACGATAGTACATGACAGTATGCTTTTGTTCCTTCATTGAATTGTTTGTTACCTTATCTCCATGCACATAAAGTGAGATGAGGAGCTGTCACCATAGCATGCCCTCCAGTACTAGTGGGTATCTTATTCCTTGCCTCTGCACTGCTGTAAGTACAATATGCTTCTCTGTGACATGTTCCCTGTCTTTTATATGCTGTCATAAATCATTCTCTACATCTTCTGGAGATCTGTTGTTAACCATGTATATTATCTATTGAACTTGGTCTTGAAGACAGGTGTAATTTAAGCTTATGGCACAGTTGTTTATTTTCCTTATACACATGGGTATAATACTGTAGTTTTTGTTTCTGCATATCATTATATCATGAAAACATGTCTGTATTTTAACTGAAGAAAGATGTGATATTTAGTACTGGCTAATAATCACCTGACTAGCAGAATATGGATATCGGTACAGTGTTTTATTACTACAGAAATATTATGTTGTACACTTGAAAGCCATTTTGTGCCTAAGACAAAACAAGCTTACATTTGATAGTTTCTAGTGGAAGTTTGAAATTGTAGTACTCTATATATATGGCACAACAGTTCTGCCCCTAACATACACCATGTTTCTCTGCAGTAGAATAGCAATGCCCATGATATCAAAAGAGTTAACTTTCTTACATTCATGTAATTAATTTATTCATTTTCAGAGAAATGACATAGCAATGGCAATTACAAAGTTTGACCAGTTTGATTTCTTAATTGATATTGTCCCTCGAGATGAATTAAAGCCCAACAAAGGGCGAGATGATGCTAGTGTTCGTACTACTTCTATGAACCCTGATCAGGTAAGATATGTCATCATTTTTATGGGCATTAACAACAGAGAAAATTTGACATAATACTGTCACGTGATAGAATATAACCATAGATGGGTTTTGGATTGGCGACTCGATTTATTGCAGGCTTTTATACAGCATGTGAATACAGTTCACTATTACACATATGCTAGTGTCCACAGGCACGTATTCACTGTCGTTGTTTGGTAGCGGCTTCCAACGACTTATGTTTCCCTTTCTCCGGGCTCCCAAACTGTCCCCCGCCTCAGCTACCAGCTCATAACAGCAAAAGCTGACAATGGCTGAACCCCAGCAGTTCTCTAACTGTAACTCCTAACTGGTTCTGGTTATAACACCTTGGCACAGACCATGAAAACGTCTCTGTCATTATTGCTGTGTTCTCTTGTTGCCGTGGCAACATGCTTGCTTGTGGAGCCACTACTTAGTAATGACTGTTGTAAAATTATTTGTTTAGCGGTTGTTGCATAGCAACAGGTCTACATGCTGTGCTTGTGATGTCTGTGATCAGCTTCACCTTCCTTCCCTCTGGCTCGGTTCTCAGATTGATTACCCCCCAGCTGCTTTCTGTGATCCCCCCCCTTAAGGCCTCTCGTCCTGAGCAGTTTCCTGTTTAGGTGCGAGCCAGTCCAGATGGACCATCATCATCTTTGTTCCAGGGATCCATTGAATCCTGCATAACCACTTTGTACGGACCCTTCCATGAGGATTGGAGCTTGGGCGACTTCTCTTTCTTGCAGTTTGGGCAGCAGAACCACGCTTTGTTGCCCTCCTGGTAGCACGAGACTTGGCCATGTAGTCGTAACAAGTTTTTATCTGGTGGCTGGCCACGTACAGGTGTTGGCAGGCATAATTGTAGATCTCATATAGATGTTCAACGAAATTTGTTGCTTAATCGACTGTGGGTCGTTCCTCGTTGGNGGGGGGGGGGGGTCCCAAATAGGTCGCAGGGCAGTCAAGTTCTTCTGCGAACACTAGGTTGGCTATTTTTAAAACCCGTGCTGTCGTGGATGCATGCCCTGTAGGAAGGAGGTAGCTGAGTAAACTTGCATCCCAATCCCTCTTGTGCGACCCACCGATCCTAGGAGTTTGCCATCGACTGTTTTGATGTGTTATTCCACCATGCCCTTCAACTGCGGGTGGAGGGGTGTGGTGCGTTTTGTTCACTCCTAGGCGTTGCAAAACCTCCTGCATCAGATGGGACTTGGGAATACAGCCCTGGTCACTATGCAGCTCCCATGATACTCTGAAATGGCAGAAAAGGTTTGTAACCAGGGCTTCTGCCACTATCGAAGCCTCTTGGTTGGGAGTGGTGTAGGCTTCCTTGGTCGCTCCATGGGAAGGACTCTGCTACATCGATGGTTAGCCTTTCTAACAGTGTCCCAACATTGTACTGATGTATTTGGCCCTGATTCCTATTTCAGGGGTCGCATCTGGCTGCACAGGTATCGCACTGCTGGCACCATTTCTCATCCTTGTTTCTTTGCCTGGAGCCAATAGTATCTTTGCTGGACCTTATCGAGGATCTTGCTTGGCACCTAAGTAACCTCCTGATGGCCCAGGATGTAGTTTGTTCAGCACGTCATTCACTTTGCTCCAAGGAAGCTCTGCCTGGGCCATTTTTGACTGTTCATCAGCGGATTCCAAGGGGAGCTCTAGTATGTCATTAGTCACAGCAAAGGATTTCCTGTTGGGCCCAGCAGCTTTTGTACGTTGTGCTGGGTTGGCGATGCTTTCATTGTGGGCAGTTACTATAGGATTCTGACGATGGTGTATAACACACTGATATGTTGGGTTTTTGGACTTTATCCATTGCCCTGGTTTTTAAGATAAATAAAAACATGACGTTTCGGAATCACTAGCCTCAATCACTGGTCCAGTGATTGAGGCTAGTGATTCCGAAACGTCATGTTTTTATTTGTTATCTTAAAAACCAGGACGATGGATATAGTCCAAAAACCCAACATATCAGTGTTTCATTGTGGGCGCTTTTCGGTCTCTACTTTGTCCAAAATGGGTCCTACATCCTGGTCATTTGGTAATTCTCTTCCCAGAGTAGCTGGATCCCAGCCAGCTGTGGCTACAACAGCAATAGCTTGTACCTCAACTTTGTGTCAGTGGGTACACTCCTCTTGCCATAGTCGTTGCTAAAGGGCATTGGCATTATTGTGTTTACGGTCTTGACGGTGCTCGAAGTGAAGCTGTACTCCTGTAGGCGCTGAATCCAGCGGGCAGTTTACTCCTTGAGGTTTTTAAAACTCATGAGCTAGGTTAATGCAGAATGGCGGGTGCGTAAGTGGAACTCTTGTCCGTAGAGGTACTGTGGAAATGTTCCAGTGTCCACACTTGCTGCAAGTAGTTCCCGTCAAATGATGCAGTAATTTCTTTTGGCCTTGTTCAGCTTCACTGTAGTATGAACTGTCCGTCATGTATTTGGGAGAGCACACCTCCAATTCTGACGTTACTCGGGTCTATGTCAAAGACGAACTTTTCCCTTGGCTACGGGTAAGCAAGTAAAAGAGGCAGTACAGAGTGCCATCTTTGGTGTTTGGAAGGCGGCCTCGAGCTCTGGAGTCCACTGGAAGTCTTCCTTCTTTATGAATTTGGTCAGCAGTTTTGCAATATTCTCGAAACTGGAAATAAACCCTCCGTAATAAGTGCATAGGCCCAGGAAGCTTCTTGTTAGGTGTCTCTTCGGGGTCATACATCCCCGTATGACTTTCAGATTCCCATGTCGGTGGTTGTCCCTGCAGGAGATACAGTATTCCTGAGGTATCATACTTCTTCCTAAAGAGTCGGCACTTCTCCGAGCTTTAGGCGGGCTTCTTTGGACCACTGGAACTCTCTTCGCTGTTTAAGTAGATGCTCTTTGGAACATGTGGCAAATCATGATCTCGTCCAGGTACATGAGACATGGCTCTTAAGTGAGTCTTTTAAGACCGTTTCTATTAACCACTAAAATGGCACTGGAGCGTTTCATAGACCAGAGGGCATGACCATGAACTGCCGTAGCCCTTGATATTCAAGAATGCAGTCTTCTCCTTGTCAGGATGCAGATCCACCTGCCAATAACCGCTCTTTAGGTCCAGAGTGGAGAACCATTTGGCTCCAGCTTGCATGTTCAATTTTCATAAATCTGGGGCAGTGGGAAGTGGTCTTTCTTCGTGACGTCATTCTGTTTACTGTAGTCGATGCAGAATCAAAAGTCCCCGTTCTTCCGGACGAGAATGAACAGTGATGACCAGGGTCTGTATGACTTTTCGATAGCCACACATTTTTGCATGTCCTCAAGCATCTCGCCCACATCCGCCTATTTTGCTAGATGGAGCGTCCTTGGGGGTTGTCAAATTGGTCGGCCCTCTCCCTTATCTTTGCAGTGGTACATTGTCAGTCCATATGTGGTCATCGCTCCTCATAACAAAGATGTCTCCGTACTCGATGAGGAGTTCTTCCAACTCTTGGGATACAACATTACTCAATTTTGGCCTGGCTGCTTCAGTCATGTGCTTAAACTTTGGGGTAGTGTCTTGGACCTGTGGTTGTTCAACATTTGGGGGGGGGGGGGGCACCAGTGTGACTGGCCCACGGTATGCCAGTGGGGAGCCTTTCATGAGCTTCTGTTTGCTTCGGGTAGCTTTCCGGACCTTTGCATTTACCTGTTGGCGGTCTCAGACCATAGTCCTGGAAATGTAGTCTTTCGGCAGCATGGACCTCTGGACTTGGTTCTACCAGGCTTTTTTCCACTCTGTGGGGCTCCAATTGAGCCATTAGCACGCCCTTGCATTGTGCAGGAATCATCTGATCATTGGCTACTACCAGGCTGGAGGACCAGGGCCGCGCCTCGGGGCTTCATAGTAACACCTCTTCCTCTGCAATACCCAGCATTTGGCGCCTGAAGTTCACATACACACCTTATGTGTTCAGGTGTCCTGTCCCAAGATGAACTCATTTGAGATGCTGGCGATGAAAACCCAGCTTTTCCGTGGTCACCACCCGAAGGTCAGTGTCAAGACTTTGTTGGAACATAGCCCATGAGGTCGATGCATCGAATTTAGGGGTATGTGCTGGATCCTAATCTTTGGCAAAACCCATACATGGAACCATTCTTCCTCCTCTGCTATTTTGTCCTTGTGTCCTTGCTGTGCAGTAACTGCTAGGGCCCTTGTCATCAGTGTCTCGACCTGGATCATGAGGCCGAGTTCTTCGTAAAGGTTCTCCCTTGAATCTCTTCTGGTTTCCAGGAGGCTGTTTGTTCACATATCGATGGATGTCTTAATGGCCTGTAAGTCCACATGTGTTTTGCCAAACTTATCGCTTAGTTCTTTGTGGAGGCCTTGCATCGTTCGGTCCACACACAACAGGATGTCTTCCAGCTGATGTTTAATTGTCTCCTGTAACTCATGCCGGATGAAGCATATTACGGCCTCCATCTTATCGTGATGTATGTTCATCTTGTCTTTCATTTCTTCTTGAGTATACCCTGTCCTAGCTTGGTGGATATCCATCTGGGAGATGAGAGTACCTCGAAGGATCTCAGACTTCTCGTTATTGGCCACTTGGTTGGTTCTTATTTTATGCAGCAGGCATTGCACCATCCGCCCCATTACTTGATCCATCATTTGTTTCATTTCCATGGTATAACGCTGTAACTACACAATGCAGTCTTCAATCCAATCCCACTTCTGACACCAGCTGTTACATGATAGAGTGTGGCTGTAGATGGGTTTTGCATTGATGACTCAATTTATTACACGATTTGATAAAGCATGTGACTGCGCTTTACAGTTCACTATTACACACACACACTAATGTTGACAGTCACGTCTTCAGTGTTGTTGCTTGGTAACAGTTTACAACTGCTGACCTTCACCTTCCTCTTGGTTCCTGAATTGTCCCCATACTCAGCTACGAGCTTCTAACAGCAACAGCTCACAATGATTAAACCCCGGCAGTTCTCTAACTGCAACTGTTAACTGGTTCTGGTTATAACG